TAAAGTACAGCACAGGGAATAGAGCAGCCAAAAGCATATGCAGGACCCATGGACATGGACAATGGTGTGGGGATTGCCCAAAGGTATGGGGATTGCCCAAAGGAGTGGGGTTGGCTGGGTGGAAGGGAATAAAGGGGGAAAATTTAGAACAACTGTAATAGCATACACAACAAAGTATAATTAAAAATAAAAATAAATGGAGAGTCATTCTATGTTAAAAAATAAACCAACAACCCACTGAAAAGAACAAATTCATCAATGATACATCCATTAATATCCAAAATTTATAAAGAACTTATATAACTCAACACACACAAAAAAACCCCAAATAATCCAACTGAAAAATGGGTAAAGGGCCTGAACAGACATTTCTCCAAAGAGGACATACAGATGGCCAATCTACTTATGAAGGTGCTCATTGTCACTAATCATCAGGGAAATGCAAATTAAAACCACAATGAGACATCACGGCATACCTGCCATAACAGCTATCATCTATAAATCAACAAATGATAACTGTTAGTGAGGATGTGGAGAAAAGGGAACACTTGTGTACTCTTGGTGGGAATGCAGACTGGTGCAGCCTCTGTGGAAAACAGTATGGAGTTTCCTCAAAAAATTAAAAATGGAACTGCATTATACCCAGTGATTCTGCTTTTGGCAATATATCTGAAGAAACCTGAAATGCTAATTCTAAAGAATATATATGCATCCCTATGTTGACAGCAGCATTATTTACAATAGCCAAGATTTGGAAGCATCCCAAAGTCCTCATCAGTACATCAGTGGGAAAAAAAAACAACTGTGGGACATTACGCAATGCAATACTACTCACCTGTAAAAAAGGAGAAAATCTACGTTTTGCAATAGCATAAATGGACCTGGAGAACATTATGCTAAGAGAAATAAGCCAGTCAGAAAAAGACAAATACCATATGATTTCACTTATATATGGAATCTAATAAAACAAACAAAATAGAAACAGAGTCACAGACACAGAGAACAGAGTGATAGCTCCCATTAGGGAGGGTGACTGGAGGGCTGGGTGAAAAGGTGTTGCGATTAAGCAAAAAACCCCCCACAAAAACTCAGAGACACAGACAACAGTATGGGATTACTAGAGGGAAAGGAGGGGGAGGTGAAAAAGGCAAAGGGGGTATAGATAATGACAGAATTGACTTGACTTTGGATGGTGAACACACAATACAATATACAGATGATGTTATTATAGAATTGTACACCTGAAACATATATAATTGTATTAAGCAATGTCTCCCCAGTAAATTCAATAAATTTTTTTAAATGGACACAAAATAAAGATAATTTCAAATAAAACCTAAGAGAACTCATTGTTATCAGGCACAATAAAAGAAATAATAAAAGACCTTCTTCAAGCACGGAGAAAATTATTCTAAATAGAAGCATTGCAAGGCATAAAAGAATAAGGAGAAAAGGTAAAAAAATAGGTCCTTTTAAATAAATATTGACTGTAATGTAAATTAATGCTATGTGGAGATTAAAATGTATACAGGATTAAGATACATGACAATAGCACAAAAAGGGGATAACACATAAAGGAAATTAAAATTTTTTTAGGACAGCTATAATATTAGGAAAGATATAATGGAACAATGTACTAAGTAAAGAAGGCATGTGTTAATCTCTTAGGGCAACCACAAGAAGAAAAATAAAAGTCTGTATAACTACATATTAAAAAGACAAAAACTGAAAGAAAAATATTTGATTAATCCAAAAAAGGCAGGAAAGAAAAGAAAAAAGAAAATATTGAACAAATAAAAAAAATAAGATGGTAAATTTAAGCCCAAATATATAAGAAAATTATTTTAATGTAGATAGATAAAATACATCAATTAAAAGACAAAGATGTGCCTTATCCACATTTGAGGGAGGCTGAGTGAGGAGTCCAATCTGGGTAAAGTGGGCATCCACTTATGGGTCAGCATAATGCCTGTTGTTGGAGTCCAAATGAGGTAGGAGAGTATAAACGCAGAGGAGCAGTCCAGTATGTACTGAGCAAACCTACCATGAATCTAACATATCTCTACCACCTATGACTAATGAAACAGGGTGCTGAGGTAGAGGTCCTCCCCAAAATCCCAAAGCCCACACAGCTATTGCTTGAGGGATGAGGAAAGCAGAGCAGGGCCACTGAAAGCTACTTTGTGGATCTGAAGAACTAAGCCAGTGTTTTAGTAGTGTTAAAAGCTGTGCCTGCTCTGAACCACAGAGATGGGTGTGACTCTAACTCTTGATGCGATGTATTTGGAGGAGCTTCCAATGCCTGCATAAGTGGCCTCGCTAGTGGCTTGGAGGTGGCTCCTACATCCTGGGACCACACTTGCCTGGACTAACGATGGCAGCTGAGAAAGGCAGAAGAAACCAGACTACTGGCAGGTGCAACCTAGTGTGGGAGGAGTTGGAAATGGGGTTACAGAGGAAGATTTATGCCAGGATTTAAACCCAGGGGCAGTAGCTACACTGGGGCTTAACCATATGGTTTGGGAGTAGAGAGGGGGCTTGCTCTTGACCATGCAGCTCTGGGAAAGGAGAAGCCTCTTGACCATGTAGCAGCAGTGCAGGGTCTTGGCCATGCAGTTTGAAAGAACACAGAAGGGTTCCTACTGGCCCACCATGAGGAAGTGCCATGCGGTTTTGGATTAAGAACAGGAGCCTAGCTGAGCGACGAACTTCTGTTTTCTCTTCCTGAGATATGGTACCCTGACTGGCCTGGTTTGGCAAGGGGAGGCAGGACTGTGTGGGTGTTTGTGGGTGTTTTTAAAGGGAATTTGGGATTTAATGGTGACATTCTGCCATTATTCTGAATCTGTATAATTTTTGAATACATAGTTCCTTTCCTTTTTACCAAACTCTGGCATTGTGAGCTACAGTTTTTATTGGTGGTGGGAAAAACCCCCCCACAGTAATAGAATCCAGTGAGGAATGGTTTCTGTAACCTACCATTCTAATCAAAACCACTATCATCTCCCATCACCATAAATGAAATAGGCTCCTAATTGGTTTTCTTACTGCTCACTTGCCCCTACTCAATCTGTTCTCCAATGTAATAATTATAAGACAAATCAACTCATGTCATTCCTCTTCTCAAAACTCTCCAACGGATTTCTATCCCATTTATAAGTCCCATTCCTTCCCCTATAATATACACACCTTTACATTTCTGCAGAAGCCTGACTTTCTGACTTCATCTTGTTATTCTACTTTTCACTTACCTTTTGAACAATCATCCTAATCATCCTGGCCTTCTTTCTGTTCCTCAAACGTACAAAGTCTCCAATCTAAGGCCTTGGCATTTGCTGTTCTCTCTATCAGGACTGCTCTTGCTCTAGATATTCATATGGCCTTAGCTCTTTTTTCATGTCACCATTCATATATCACCTGGTCAAAAAGCCAATTTCTATTCCCTTGTCTTCTCACTTTTTTTTGATGAAGCTCAATATCTTTATAGCAACAATGAATTTTCCATTTCATATTAATACATAATGGTGATAATATAATGTTTTTATGAGACTTTTTTAAAACTGCAGGTTGTTGACATACTGTTAGTTGACAGAGATTAAGTGACATAAATATTATATTATTATAATCTCACTTTTCTTATTAATACTTGTCACTACCTAATAATATTTATTCACTTACTAGTTTCCTTATTCCTATTAAAATGTAAGCAACATGACTCCTGGGACCTATCACTCTTGTTCACTATTGTTCCACTAGTGTCTATAGTACAATGCCTGGTTCAGAGAGAGCACTCAAGTATTTGGTGAATAAATAATAGCTATATGTTTAGGCAATGAAAGACATAAATCAAATAATCAAAACAGAAGCTGGAAAGAAACTGGATCATATATAGATACTGCTATAGACTGAATTGTATCCTCCCCCAAAATTCACACATCGAAACCCTAACCCCCAATGTGACTATAGTGGCAGACAGTACTCTTACAATGTAATTAAGGTTAAATAAAATCATAAGAATAAACTCCTAATCAGATATAACTGGAGGTCTTATAATAGGAAGAGAGAATTACACTGATTAATTTTTTAATATTAAACCAAGCTTGCATTTCTGGGATAAACCATACTTGATCATTATTTTTATATCTGCTGAATATGATTTGGTAATATTTTGTTAAAATTTCTATATGTATGTTCATAAAGGATATGGGTTTGTGATTTTCTTTTTTTTGGCAATATCTTTGTACAAGAGTTAAGTGGTCTCATAAAATGAGTTGGAAGTTGTTTTTCTTTTTCTACAGAAACGTGTGTAATACTGCTTTAATTTCTTAAATATTTAATAGAATTCACTAGTGAAACTGTCAGGCCCTGGCATTTTCTTTGTGTAAATATTTTTAATAATTAATTAAATTACTTTAATAGATAAAGTTTTTCATATTTTCTCTTTATCTTGTGTCAGGTCTAGTAAGTTACATTTTTCAAGGAATTTTTCAATTTCGCTTAAGTTTGTTAAACTTACTAGCATAAAGTTATTCACAGTATTTTCTTATTATCCTTTTAATGGCTATAGGATTTGAACTGAAAACCTCTCTTCCATTCCTGACAGTAATTTATGTTGTCTTTTCCTCTTGATTAGTCAAGCTCACTGTTTAACAACTTTGTTGATCTTTTTAAGAAATGAACTTAGGCTTTATTAATTTTCTCTACTTCTTTTTCTATTTTGTTGATTTCAGCTTTTATATTTATTATTTTTCCTACTACTAATAGCTCTTCTCTTTGACATGGGAGAGAAATATGAGAGACAGGAAAAAGAGAGGTAGGTATAACAAAGTTTCTTTGTTAGTCTAGTCTCAAAAGATTTTTATTTGGATCTGAGGTCTCACATAGGTCATGGGCTTTTGAAGAGAGATACTCAAAAACAAGTTAAGGTCGTGCCTTTAGCCAAACCGGCTTGGCTATTACCTACAGTAATGAGTTCCCCATACTTGCTAAGCCTCACTCACCAAGGTGGTATCTTCTTGTCCTTTCCCTCACAATCATTCCTGGCTCCTTTCCTTCATCCAATAATGTAATCACATCTAGTTTAGAAATGAAGAGTCCTGCTTAATAGATAAATGTGACATGAAGTTGTGAGCCTAAATGTCCTTAGATTCAGATATGGTTAAATATATAATTCACTCTAGACCAAAATGGTATTTTATCAAGTCTAAAAGCAAAGAAATGCAAGAAGTTGAAGAACATTTACATTAAGATAACTTCAGGACCACAAGAATAGACACCAGATAGTTAAGAATAGGCCTAACATGATTTAAACTCACACAAGCTCTCCTGAGAGGCAGTCTTGTGCAGTGGTTGAGTAACAAAATCTGGATTCAGACTGCCTGGATTCAAATACTACTTTTGCTGCTGTGTTATCTTTGTACCTAAGTTTTCTCAACAGAAATGAGAATAAAAATAGTATATTTCTCATAGAGTTGTTGTGAGAGTTAACTAATGATAGACAATGTTTAGAATAGACAATGTTTAGAATAGTTATATATGTACATATACACAAAATATGTGTGTATTAGGTATTAACTTTTGCTAAGAGGCGAGTAAGAGGCTTCCTGTGACATTCTCACATCCTTTTCAGAATATTCATTCAATGTTACAAGGAAAAGCCCTTAGATTTTTAACTTTCAACTACAAAGTAGGTAGAATTAAATGTCTGTTACAGAAAACAGAATGCATGTAAATATTTAATCAAGCTTTAAATGAACTTTGTGGATCCATTCCGTAATATGAACATTGCATAGGCTTTGATTTTTAGAGCAACTCAGGACCCCTTTCTCTAGGTGTTCTCCTCACAAGTGGATTAGAAATGAGAGGTAGCCCTGACTGTGTGGCTCAGTGGACTGAGCATTGGCCTGCAAACCAAAAGATCGCTGATTGGATTCCCAGTCTGGGCACATGCCTGGGTTGCCAGCCAGATCCTCAGCTGGTAGCATGTGAGTGGCAGCCAGTTGATGTTTCTCTCACACATTGATGTTTCTACCTCTCTTTCTCCCTCCCTTCCTCTCTCTCTAAAAATAAATAAAATATTTTTAAAAAATGAGTGTTAAGCATCTACATTAATTTTGAGCTCAAATACAATGTGAAATCTGGTTTCTTGGACAATGTTTCTGTTGTAAGCAACCCAGAATTCAAATACATCCCCTTGGATATTAAAGAAACAAGGAAAGTACAAAGTCTGAAGAAAATCTGAAGGATCTAGCAGGACGGGAGTGATGAAGTATTAAATGGAGGGGCCTGTTTCCAACTTAAGAAAGCTTGAACCATTCTTTGGAACAGAGAGACAAAATTTATCTAGTTTCTCAAAGCATCGTTCTGAAATTGACACTAGAGAATGCCAGTATAATTTGGAATAAACTTACCTAGTGAAATAAAGTTGCTGTAATTTTCCCACATCACATTCCTATATAAGTCCCTCTGGGCTGAGTCCAGAAATTCCCACTCTTCCTGTGAGAAGTCGATGGCTACATCCCTGAATGTCACTGAATCCTGGGGGAAGAAAACTCATGTATTATTTGTGAAAATGAATGAATTTTTAAAATGGAAAGATAGAAGATCAAGGATTGCACTGCAGAGAATGAGCCATGTAGCAGCAAATAAGGCAGAGCTGAAAACTTATGACACGCATAGGATAGAAAATTAGTATTCCTGAAGCAGAGTACTACATCTTTTGAATAGCCCTGTGGCTGTAGATAAGGTTAAATTTTAACCACATATATCTGGAAATAAATAAAATGACCCAAAAAAGTCCCAACGAAATGAAACAGTGCACACAGCCTTCTGTAAGCTGTATTGCCACCACAAATTCTAAAAAAATACGAGGTCTTCTACTTTCTTTTTCTTTGAATAATCACAAAAAAATATTGATAACAATTTCTCCTGAATATATTAGAAAATCTCTAAGAACACAGACTCAAGGTCATCATAAAATCAGATTTTATATAATCATTTTCCCTGTTATGACCAATTAATTTTTTAGTAACCTTTCAAAAATTTGTTACATGGTAGTCCACATTTTAAATAAATGAGATTCAATCTTTTTTCTCTGTTTAGCTGTTTTAATTCAACAGAATTTCAAAAGTCTTCCTCAAATTTCACAGTCTATATTATCTAATACTCATCTATGCAACTGGATGACTTTATCTTACTCTTTATCATCCATTATCCCTCATTGACCACTTTTCCTCATTCTTGGATTAGAGGATACTGAATTATGAAGATATCACTCTGGACCGGTGGTTTTCAATAAGGAGTGATTTCATTTCCCAGAAGACACCTGGCCATGTCTGGAGAAAATTTTGATTGTCACAAGTTGGGGGAGGAGGTTTAAGTGTTACAGGCATCTCATTGGTAGAGACCAGGGATAGCTTTAGATATCCTACAATGCAGACGACAGTCCCCCAGAATAAAAGGTTCTCTTGCTCAAAATATGAAAAGTTCCAAGGTTGACAAATCCTGCTCTAGATCAGCACATCCCATAAAATTACACAGTGATTCTTGAGCTTTCTATTTGCAGTCCTATTCTGATCACCTCCTATTCATCCACTGGAAAAGAGGGGAATCCCTTGCCCTAGATAGCATGAGATGACTGAATACCTAACAACAGGAAGATGAGACTGCCAGTAGTTTATTAGTCACAGACTCACAGCCCAGGGAAGGAGGACACCAAATGTCATGTAGGGCCACACAGGGGTTACACTCAGGAATAAAGTGACTAAGCAAAGTCTGTTGAGAGATGGTAAAAAGAGGATGAGGTGTTCCTTGGTTCCTGCAGAAAGGTAATTGGTAAAACCCATATATTAAGGACCAGGAGGGGCGCTGATGGGGCTGATAGGGGAACTAGCCCAGTAGAGAGTTCTTTCTGCTGGATGGCAGACAATATTGGGTGAGAGCAGGAGAACTCGTGGTTAAGCCTTTAGAGACTTTAAACAAAGATATCAAGGCAGTGCAATCATAAAAGCCTCACATAACATAAGATCTCAACACATACAGAAACTGAGACCAGCCAGTGCAAACCTCATTTTATGTACTGAGGAGACTGAGGTCCGTGGAGAAGTTTGGAGTTTTCCCTATAACAGTCAAATAGGATCAAATTCTCTTTCATCAAAACATAGATTTTCAAGGAAAGTTCAAAACTGAAATCTCCTGCTTAATATCAATAATCCATTTTAACATACATTATTGACTAAATATCTATTTTCCCATCATTTTAAATTAAATAATTAGATTGCATTACACATCAATTTCAACCCGTCAACTACTTTTCTATATCCTCTCAGTACAAAATTATAGTACATAGGGGTCAGTGCACAGGTACTTTGCCTTTAGTATCTTCACTGTCTTTTTTAACGGAACTCATTTTCCTCACTTGATTTGTTTCTTTCTCCATAGCTTTCTTCACAACTTTTACAAATTTTTAGGAACTCATTTTATACTAAGCAAAAACAAAAGCTGCATGTAAAATACACTATTTTTTTTTCAAAGATTGTATTTACTTATTTTTAGAGAGGGGAAGAGAGGAAGAAAGAGAGGGAGAGAAACACCGATCACCAATGTGTGGTTGCATCTCGTGTGCCCCCTACTGAAGACCTGACCTGCAACCCAGGAGTGTGCCCTGCACTGGGAATCGAACCGGCAACCCTTTGGTTCACAGGCCGGCACTCAATCCACTGAGCCACACCAGCGAGGGCTGAAATACACTATTAAAATGCATTTCTTACAAGAACATTATGGCAGGAATGATTCATATTCAGTATGATGCTCTGATGTCTCCTTTATTAGTCCGCAACACCAGATATACACAGCCCCTTTAATAATATTTGCATGCATTTCAAAACATCTGCAGATGGTTCTGATAGTCCATCAATTGTATTTGGAATTAAACAAGACTCACAGCATATTGTTTTTTGTTTAAAAATGTTGCATTGAACTATACAATTTCACTTATATATAAAGTTCTAAAAATAGCAAAATTAATTTATGATATTTTACATAAAGATAGAGGTTACATTTGGATTGGGTAGGTAGGGAGTAGCTAAAAGGGGGACATCTGAAGTGCTAGTAATATTCTCTTTTTTGATCTGACGGTGGGTGGCATAAATGTACTTAATTTTTAAATATTCATTTAGTTGTACACTTATGACGTGCACTTTTCTCTATGTACACTAACAATAAAAAAATTCAAAAAACTTTTTTAAAATGTCAAATTGTATATTGGGGATATAAATTTTTCCTACATTAAACTAGACTAAAAATCATTGTACTCAGAGAAATATACTTTCTCTGAAGTTTAAGTATTACAGTCAAAAGTATGTTCATTTGTAAAGCATTAATGGCAGGGTAGGGGGTATATATTGCAGAGAATGGTTGCATTTTTTTCAAACTTTTGTTCCCTATTAGCTCTTGACAGATTTTGTAGATAAAAGATGGTCTACATAAATGGCAAGAAAAAGAGAGAGTGCATGGAGAGGATACTGGGCTATTTTTCCCCAACCTTCATGGGAATGAAAGTAGCACAGCTTCTTGGATGGAGCTCTGTTAAATAGGAAATTTCAGGATAAGAAATGAGTATTTAAGCATGACCTAGAAACTGACAATTTCTAAATATCTAAAAAGAGAGAGACATCAACTTACACGGGCCATGGTTTCAAACTGCTCAGTCCTCAAGATTTCTGTTGAAGAACTGCAAAGTCCAGATAAGCCAAATCTAGAAAAAGAGAAAGAAGACATTAAATCAGATATGCCTCAGAGCCCCCAAAATTACTTATGTTAACATTAGTTCATTTTCCTGCCACTCCTGTTTCCAAACTATTCTATACCACCATATCCACACTAATCCCATATCCACACAAACTGGTGGAGAGTTTAGGGAACTAAGTGAAGAAATCCAAGCCCTGAAGAAACCCAATGAATAATGCTGAAGTTGGTGTAGAAAAACAGAAATTTCTGCAGGAAATTTCTCCATCTGGGAATGTGGTCCCGCCATAAGATTATTCAGACGTGTTCTGAGCAGTTCCTCCTCCCTCTAGCAGAGCTTCTCGGGGCCACAAAAGGACGACATTAACCAAAGAGAACCTCCTTTGAGCCCCAGGATTCTGCCTTAACTTCCCAAACACAAAGACTAAAAACCACACAGATTAAGCCTGGAAGCTCCTGCCACTGTAAAGCTGCACTGGCCTTTCTCCAGCCAGGGCAACTCACTATCTTGTTTCCGAGTCAGGACTTCTCATACCATGACATCCGCTGCCATCATGACAACTGCAGTTAGTCAAAAACTAACAGACATTGAGAACTTTGATTTGATGAATGCATTATACACACCAATTACTGATCCTCAGCACTGTTCTGCAATGTAGTTGTCTCCCTTCAACAGGAAACTGATGCTTAGGGCTCAAATCATTTGTTCAAATTCAGTTATTAGATGCCAGCGTTTTGTTCTGTTTTGAATCCACATTTCTCTAATTAAGAAGCCATATGTCAACTTTGATTTTTGCCTCTGAAGGCTAGAATTACCAATTCACTAAGAGAAACCTAAGCAAGGGCAGTTAACTATAAAGTAGAAATAACCTTTCAAAAGATGCTAAACTTCACTACTCATTAAGGTGATGTGTATTAAAGCAATCAAAAACATCTTTTACAGTGACTGAATTGATAAGGATATTTGCAGGAGTATACTGACAGATATGGTTTATAATGAATAAAAGTTAAAAAGAATCCAATTGAAGAAATGGTTAAACAACTAAAAATCATGCAATTAAAAAGTGATGATGTTGACACAGTTTTGATGAAATAGGTGAAGGTGCTGTGTTAAGAAAAGAAAAAAAAAATGTGTGGCACTTAACTATTCTGACAGGAAAGAAAATCACACATAAGCCTAGAAGTACCAGTTACAATGTTTAGAGGCACAGCCAGAGATACTCATCACCATATTAAATACAGTGTGAGCTAAAGTACACAAATACTCCAAAGAAAAAAAAAGACTTTCCCAGTTCAAAGTTTTCTTCCTATCTTCTGTTAAACTAAGAAAAGAGCTTAGGATTCTCTAAAAACAATTTTTCCTGTGTGACTTTAACTTCAGCCTCTAATTCATGAACCAACTTTATGATTTAATTTACTCATGTATGTTGGAGTGCTATCTAAAAAGAATGGGAAAAGACCTTGACTGATGTCTTTTAAGAACTGATTGCAGTCTCCTCGCTGCGACCTTTCACATCTTCCTAACAAATGAGTTTATTTTGCTTCTGACCTAATCCTTTGGGCTGAGATACCTATGAAGGCCTACAATAGATGCTGAATCTTCTCATCCTACTAGTCTCATCTTCCATAGACCATCACTAAAATTAAAAATTTAAGGCATAGATCTTACTGTATAAAATCCATTTCTCTCCACAGAGACTTCACGGCCTCGGTATAAACTGGACATAACTCAACAGTGCTTGCTGACATCAGATTAATATGTCCTCCATTATGATGGATTACTAAGGCAGGAAGAATTTTTAATTATACATAATGATGAGACTTAGTATACTGTTGTAATTAGTAATATAGGCTTTGCTGTCAGACTTCCAGGATATAAATCTCAGCTCTGACAGTTACTAACTGTGTGATCTTTAATGTGTTACTTTTTCAGCCTTAGTTTCTTCCTATGTAAAATGGTGATAATTACAGTTCTATATCAAGGGATTGTTATGCAGATTAAGTAAGATACTACATATAAAGTGCTTAAAGTAGCAAATAAAAGTGTAATAAAGAGCAGCTATATATGAAGAATTCTATATACTCTTCTTCCCATAATTATTAAAGACAATTCTCTTTTTTCCCATTAAAAAAATGAGCTGCTCAGCCCTGTTCTTTCTTTTTTTTTAAGATTTTATTTATTTATTTTTAGAGAGAGGGGAAGGAAGGGAGACAGAGAGGGAGAGAAACATCAATGTGTGGTTGCCTCTCAAGCGTTCCCCCACTGCATACCCAGTCCACAGCCCAGGTATGTGCCCCGACTGGGGATCGAACTGGTGACCCTTTGGTTCGCAGTCTGGCACTCAGTTCACTGATCCACACCAGCCAGGGCTCAGGCCCCCTCTTTCTTATAATGCTAATTATTAAGTTTCAAAGCTGTGTGCTGACAAGCAATTTCTCCTTATTAATAACAATTTACAAAAGAGGGTTATGTGAATGGATGAAGTAAATGTGGCAAAATCCTCACAATTTTTGGACTTGGGTTTGGGTGAGAAGAAAAAATATGGAATTACAACATAATAGTAATAACTAAATCTACTGAGCACTTACATGTCTCAAGCATTAACTAAGAACTTTACACATGTTACTTCATTTATTATATGAATCCTATATGGTAGGTTCTCTCTTTACCCTCCTTTTACAGATGACAGAACTGTGGCACAAAGAGATGAAATAAATTGCCCCAAGTTCACCCAGTTCTAAGTGATAGGTTTAGGATTAGAACTCTGGTAATTTAGTTCCATAACCCATAGTATTGATACTACACTAAACTGCTTCTCTTAAAACCACATAAATACGTAGCCTGAAACAAAATCATCCTGTCAAAAACCTCAAACCAAACCTCTTCTCAAATTTCTACTAATGCTTTTGCTTCTCTTCTACTAATAATCCCTTCCCTTGTTAACATAGACCTCCATTAAAAACCCTACCAAATTAAGACTCCTTAAAAGCCTCAAAAACCGAAGACCCTGTCACTGATCACATCTTCTCCTGCTTTGACCTCAGGGCAATGGGGAAGATCATCTCCTACCTTCCCCCTACCTTCCTCTGCTTTGACCTCATCTCCCACCTTCCAGTGCTTTGACCTCAGGGCAGTGGGGAAGATCAAAGCCATACTGGACTCATACTGGATCAAAGCCCAGTATGAGTCCAACTAAACTAATCTCAACAAATCACAGCCTATAACAGTAAAGTTCTGCAGTTAGGCTTGTTTGCAGACCAAGTGTTTAGAAAGCAGTAGCTCACAGGAGAAATTAAATGATTGCCAAATGTTCATGTGAATACTCACCTGGTGTGAGAGGGGACTGGATACCTACCCACATCATCTCCATCATTCACAGGTAGGAGGGGCAAAGATCCAGGTCAATAGATAGCTCAGGTGTTAAAGCCTTACCAGCAAAAGAGTACACAATGTAGGGATGGCTGTGAATGCCGCCCAACACAAAATAGTAAATTTACTTAAAACATTGATTTTTTTTGTGTGATTATGTGTTACAATGTATTTAATTCATGGTTTAAGACAACTCTTCTAGTGTGGTCTGGAGATGCCAAATGGTTAGACAACCCTGGACTACATAGAATAAGGCTATCAAGGCAGATTTATTTGCTCAAGACAGGGAGAAAATTCTACAGGAACTATTGGAATGTGATGGATGAGAGAGAGAGGAAGGAGAGACTCTCTTGTAAAGGGCAGAGTACCAACTGAAGGATTCTGAGAAAGGCGGGATTAATTCTGGAATGTTTGTTGTCTCTGAGGTGAGAGTAGAAGACAGGATTAATTAAGGTTGAGTGCTACAATAAAGCAAGAGTAGTTTAGCAATTGAGTATTCCAGTAATAAAATAAAAATAGCAATGTGGTAAGAAAGCTACAGTCTCTCAGAGAGAAAGCCGTTATGGCATTTTACAGTTGCTGCATGACTTGAGTGAGTATGTGGCAGGCAGTTAGACAGACATAAGCAGAGCAAGGACAATGAGCCAGGTACAGAAAGTCACCATGGTGAAAGCCCCAGGTACCTAACAACAGGCAAACCTGGGAAAACAAGGACCTTACCCACAGGGTAATCTCTCATCCCCTAGAATATCACTGGTCATGCGTTTTAGACCCCTTGACCTTTCATATCACCAGTCATGTGTTTTGGACCTTCCCCTGACCTTTTCTTCCTTGACATGCTGCTGGTCATGCAGGTTAGATTCCCTTAGAGCGGGAACCAACCAGGGACCAGAGAGTAGCCCTTAAGCATTAAGCCCTCAGGACAGTGAGGCTCTGACCTGTATCAAATACATCTAGGTTGCAGCTGTGTTTCAGCTCCAGACCCAGAAAAGCAGCAAAACCAGACAAGCAACACCATAGCTGACATAGCTGACATAGCTGACATGACCCCTGCCATGGTGTGCACCAATCAGTAGAGACCACGACCTTGAAAGGACACACATGGAAAGCTGGTAAATGTTCTATGAGGACCCTCCCCTGAGACCTCCAGATGAATACCCTCAAGACAGAGGGTCCATGGCTCACTCTATGGAGCACCCCTCAGAGCTCCCCCGCCTCCATCCCCCAGCCACGTTTTCCTAGACTCTTTTCTTTCTCCTAAGCCCCAAGGGCCCTCTTCTTTTGCCTCTGTAACTTGTTTCTTGAGCCCGTTTCTTATACAGTTCACTACTTCTACCTCCAGAACTTTCTAAACAAACTTTCTTATAGTTAAAGAGTTTTGGCTCTGAAATATTTCTTAGCCAGAATTCAAGTACGAAGGTTGCTGAACCAAGGTCAGATCTAACGCCACCAGTCTAACACCTGGTGCCTTCTCCCTTCCAATGTTTCCTAATTTTTCAACTGGCTTTATCTGTCTCTTCTCTCCCATCCTGATTAATGACAGGGGTGGTTTTTCTCTTTTGAGTCCAATCTGATTTTCCCTTTTCACAAAAGCAAATATTCTCAAGCCCAGAAAAATAAAAATTACATTTCATGGAACAAAGGGAAAACAGAAACTCACTTCAAGATAGGTATGTATCTACTAACATATATCGATAGATTTTATATATATATATATATATATATATTAGATACATATCCTCCTTTCTTTCTCCTTCCCTAAAAATCAGGTTTGGGGAAGGAAACGGGAACCTGGATACAGTGAGCCTTTCTTGGCGCTCAGCCCAGGCTGGCTAACACCTATATTTTGCTCCCACCATCCACCACACACATAAGCAGATGGAAATTTGGGAGCCTGGGGTGAGGCCGACACTTCCCGGTATCAGAACGAAAGGCCAGAGTGCAAAAACTGCACTCTGACTCCGAGTTCAAGGCACTTTCCTTGGGAGGGAGTACTGCGATCTCCGTTGTTCTCAGGACTGCATCTTTTTGCAGGCGGCCTTCACTCTGGGGTTCATACATTTAACTCAAAGCCATTCTGGGCCGCTGGATTTGTGCGGTCCTGACGCGGAAGGGCAGAGGACGCATCCGGACTCCCAGAGCCCAGTTATCGTGACAAACTCCATACTGACTGCAACACCGTTCACATATATGCCAAGGCCCGCTGCCCCCTCGCCGCCCCCGTGCCCATTTCCTCAGTGTCCGCGACCAACTCACCTCTCCAGACGACACCAGCAAGGAAGCCCTTAGACAACTACGTGCAAGAGGCCTCCGGGAAACGTAGTCTTCTGTAGGGCGGGCCTGGTTCCCGCCCCCAAAGGGTTGCCGGGAGTACGCAAAGGCGGGGCTTAACGCCAGCGCTTGAAGATAGGTTAGTAAGGGAGGGGCTTAAAGGCCGTCAGGGGCTGAACTCGGTACCCTCAGAAAACTCAGGGTTCTGATTGTCGCTGAAAGGAGCCCTACCAGGGTTGATAAAGAAGTCTCAGCTCCAGCAGAAAGCTAATACACGGTTTGTGTTAGGCACACAGACCTTACACCTTAACCCAAAATTAGCCCTAAATATATAACACAAAACTACAATACTTTTAGAGAAAATCTGTGTGACCTGGGGTTTGTGAATGAGTTTTTAGATACAATGCCAAAAGTATGGTCTGTTAGAAAAAAATGTTAAACTTTACTAAAACATAAAAACTTTCTCTGTGTAAAAAAACACTGTTAAGAGAATGAAAAGACAAGCCATAGACTAAAATAAAATATTGGCAATACATAGCTATGTAATTTGAATCCAGAATATATAAAGAACTCTTAAAACTCAATAAGAAAGTAAATCATTTGAAAAAATGAGTTAAAGCTTTGAGCACACACTTTACCATAGAAAACATACAGATGACAAATAAGCATGTGAAAATATGCTCAACATCATTTGTCATTAGGGAATTACAAATTAAAATGACAATGAGGTATCACTATCTTCGTTTGGGCTGCTATAATAAATTGTCATGAACTGGGTAGTGTAAACAACATTTATTTCTAACAGTTCTGGAGGCTTCTCAACAGTTTAAGATCAAGATATTGGCAGATTCAACATCTGGTGAGAGCTTGCTTCCTGGTTTTTAGGTGGTCACTTCTTCACTTGCCTGAGGAGAGGGAGTGGGAAGCACACTCTCCTGTTTCTCCTTATAAGGGCACTAATTCCATTCATGGCAACTACTAATTAATGTGTTGTGTGTTAAAGCAACCAAAAAAAAAATCTTTTTACAGTGACTGAACTGGGAGATATAAAAGATCGAAGATGCCCTAGTCATCAGCCTAAAAGACTGAGGTAACCTTCAGGATCTAATTACTTCCCAAAGGCCCCACCTATTAATAGCATTACATTGGAGGTTAGGCTTTTAACATAGGAATTTTGTGGGGAAATAAACATTCAATTCATAACCACCCAGATATTAGAATGGCTAAAATTTTAAAACATATATAATAGCAATTGCTGTTAAGTGTACAGAGCATTAGGAATGACTTCTTATTCACTTCTGAAGAGAATGCAAAATGGTAGAGCTACTTTGGGAAATAATTTAGTGATTTCTTATAGAGCTACTAAATAGCAAGTGTTTGATCCAGCAATTAAATGGCCATTCTCAAAGAAGTCTTAACGATTTAATATGTGCAAATACACATTGCTAAGTTAAAGAAGGTAGTATGGAAAGTCTGTATGATTCCATTTATATAAAATTCTGGAAAAGGCCAACTACAGAGAAGTAAAACAGTTTACTGATTGTCAAACATTTAAGAATTTTGGAGAGTTGAATATGGTGAAGCACAGGGGAATTTTTTAGAATGGTGAAACAATTCTGTACTATATAGTGGATACATGACCATATGCATTCGTCCAGATCCATAGAACATCACAGCATGAATACTCGATCTTAATTCATATACATTTTTTAAAAAATCAATTAGGATGTTGATTCAAGAAATTCCAGGTGAAGTTCAGATAGTGACAAAAGAATATAACTATTAAAGATGTATGATAAATGTCACTGAGGAACAAGGGGGGTGGGGAGAAGCAGATAAATGTATATCAATGCTGTACTTTAATAAATGAAATTGCTTTTAATCAGTGTATGGATAGACAATTCTGAAGCCACTGTACATGTATATGGATATGAACAAATAAATAAATGGATGGCAGAAGAAACCAGGTTTCTCTGCCTTGGAATGGGAGGTTCCAGAACAGTAAGGGAGGAAGGCTAGAATGAACTGTGTGTTACTGGATTAGAGTCAGAGAAATCACAGAACTCATTTTTAGATTAATATAATACACACACACATTTATAAATAATTATAGATATGTATATGTACTTAAGTTAGTATACAAAAATATTTCTAGCTCTGTTTGCTGAGAGGGCTTATAAGCAATGAAATCCCAAAAAGAAAATGAGCAATCCCTGAGCCCAGACCTTAGTTTCTAATAACATTCTATAGTGAAAGGGACCAGAACTCTTTGGAAAAAGGGCTGAGTCTAGGGCTGGGCAGGGAATATACAATATAAGATGGGAATATGTTGTAGTACAACAAAGTAAGGGAGTGCTTAAAAAACAAAATGATGAGAGTATGCCAAAGGGAACAGGAGTCAACTGAGATGGTTCACGATGGCCAAAATTAAAGTAATTTGAGTAATAGAGAGATAGATAGATAGATGATAGATGGGTAGGTAAGATAATATTGAATTATAGTCCAAAACACTTCTGGCCAAGATGGAGGTGTAGGTAGACTCGCTTCGCTTCTTCACACAACCATAAGAAAGATAACAACCAATATATAAACAAATAACAACCAGAACTGTTAGAAAATTAAACTGTATGGAAGTCCAACAACTAAGGATTTATGGAAGAAACATTCATCCAGATAAGCAGAAGAGGTGGAGAGGAAGCTGTGTGGCATGGAGAGATGGTAGCAGGCAGTGGCGAGGCAACTGCCATGGTGGCCCTAGGAATAGGTAGCCCCACATTAATGTATGGTGGATAAAAACTGGGAGGGACAATAGGGGAGCAGTTGATCACAGCCTCAAGCCAGACTGTTCAGCCCAGGGTTCCAGCAATGGGAGAATAAAGTCTCATAACTTCTGACTGTAAACCAGTGGGGACTGGCACAGCAGAAGAAACCACCAGTCTCTTCAGAGAGTCCATGTAAAGGACCTATAGGGTCCTAGAATGTCTACAAACCCACTCACTCTAGAAATCAGCACCAGGGCAGCAATTAAAAGGGTGCCAGATGCTTATGGAAAGTTGGGGAAGAGACTGGAAACCGGGCAAGAGCCAAGCAAGGGGCATTGTCTCCTTTCTGAACCCTCCCCCACATACAGTGCCACAAATTGGTGAAGTGGGCTGCCCTGTTCTGGTGAGTGCCTAAGGCTCCACCCCTTACAATGTAACAGGTGCATCAAGCATGGGAATCAAAGCAGCTCTACCTAACACACAGAAACACAGGGAGGCTGCCAAAATGAAGAGACAGGGAAATAAGGCCCAAATGAAGGAACGGATCAAAACTCCAGAAAAAGAACTAAGCCAAACAGAGACAGCCAACAGATGCAGAGTTCAAGGGACTGGTGATCAGGATGCTCAGAGAAATGATTGAGGGTAGCCATAAAACAAAGGAAGAAATGAAGGTTATACAAAGAGAAATAAAGGAAAATACGCAGGGAACCAACAGCGAAGGGAGGGAAGCCAGGATTCAAATCAACAATTTGGAATAAAAGAAATAGACAGCCAACCAGAACAGAAAGAAGAAACAAGAATCCACAAAAATGAGGAGAGGCTTAGGAACCTCTGGGACAACTTTAAATATACCACCATATAAATCAGAAGAAGAGGAAAAGCAAGAAATTGAAAACTTGTTTGAAAAAATAATGAAGGAAAACTTCCCCAATTTGCCAAAGGAAATAGACATACAAGTCCAGGAAGCTCAGACAATTCCAAACAAGTTGGACACAATGAGGGCCACATGAAAAAACATCATAATTAGGTTACAGATAAAGAATGAATCTTAAAAGCAGCAAGAAGAAAGAGAGAGTTATCTACAGAGGAGTTCCCATATGACCATCAGCTGATTTCTCAAAAGAAGCCTTGCAGACAAGAAGGGACTGGCAAGAAATATTCAGAGATGAAAAGCAAGGACCTACATCCAAGATTACTCTATCCAGCAAAGCTATCATTTAGAATTGAAGGGCAGATAAAGTGCTTCCCAGACAGGGTAAAGCTAAAGGAGTCCATCATCACCAAGCTCTTGTTGTATGAAATGTTGAAGGGACTTATCTAAGAAAAAGAACATAAAAACTATGAACAGTAAAGTGACAACAAACACAACTATCAACAATGGAATCTTAAAAAAACAAAAACTAAAACAAGCTGGGCAAGCACCTAGAGCAGAGTCATAGAGATGAAGGTCACATAAAAGATTGTCAGTAGGTAGAGTGAGGGTGGAGAATGGGGGGAAAGGTACAGGGAATAAGAAGCATAGTTGGTGGGTACAGAATAAACAGGGGGTGTTGGGAGTATTATGGGAAGTGGAAAAGCCAAAGAACTCATATGTAAGACCCATGGACATCAACTAAAGATGGGACTGGGGGAGGGAACGGGGGTAGTGGACAGAGCGGGATGCTAAAGGGGAAAAATGGGACAACTGTAATAGCATAATCAATAAAATATACTTAAAAAGGTATAAAATAGGTATCCGTGAGTCCATCCTTACAAACATAAATGGTTGAGTAAATAAATAAATGAGTCCAAAGGAAACATCTCCCATACTGTAGGATTCTAAATAATTTGTGTGGATTTCCCCTTCTCCAGTAGTTGAAGCATTATTCCTCCCCTCCTTAACTATTGGCTGTATTTAGTTTCTTCCTTTGAAAGAGTATAGTAAAAGAAGGAAAATAATGTAACTGTACAGTGAAGAAATCTTGGAAACACCTACTCAGCTAGGTGTTCAAGGCTAGTATCAGTGATGTTATGGTGATAGCAGCATGAACCTTTAATATGATATTGTAAGAGTGACAGTTACTGTGCTCTTTCTCCCCCAAAAACCCAAATTCCACTCTAGCTAGGAGAAAAACATTAGACAACCCCAATTTCAGGGACATTCTATAAAATAACTGACCAGTATTCCTCAAAATTGTCAAGGATATCAAAATTAAGAAAACTCTGAGAAATTGTCACAGTCTGGAGGAGTTTAAAGACATAGATTACAAAGTGTAGTATGATAC